CTTACTCGGTAAATTAAATTTTATATTTTTTTAACTCCGTCCTAATTAACCAAGATCATAGGTTTTTGATTAGAGAAACTTCATTGTTGGTAACTTCAATATAGACGTTATAATGTCTAAGGACGTTTTATTATTATTAAAAATGTTATATATTGAATATATATGTATATATATATATATATCATCAATATTTTTGTGAAAGCCAATGTATATATATATATATATATATATATATATATACATTGGCTTTCACAAAAATATTGATGCATCGGAAACTCAGACAAGGTGATACATGAGGCAGAACGATGAGTGGCTGGTGCTCCGCCATGTGTGAAGCTCTCCACCATTAACTTGGGGACTTGGCAGGGAAAAGGAAAAGCTTGTTTTTCCATTTGGTCTATTTGTCAACCGTCTCATCTGAAAGCCAAACGAGACAAATAGAAAAAAGTTACCAGCCCCGTTCCATATCTAAAGGTCAGCCCATATTATTCCCTTGAAGCTTAAAACTAGTGAGAATAAATAAAACCTTATTTATCGCAATATAATATTAATTTTATTTATCCGTATTATAATTTTATTTGGATCCATATTTTACAGTTATCTCCGGCACCATAAATACATTAAAAAGATGACTCAAGCTTCAGAAAAATTGATATCCAACTGCACGTCTTAATTATTTTTATTTTTTTGTTCTATATTATAGAATTAGCATTCATTGTTTTTATTATAGATTTTTCCTCTAAATGGATGCAGCATAAATTATAATCATGCTAATCGGTTCCCTTTTATATTATCGTATTAGCATGTTTGACAAATTACTGTATACAGGAAGGATAATTTCTATTCCTTTTTTTCTGCCAAGCACATTATATTATATGCTATCGTATACAATATGCTAAGCATATGATATTTAAATATTTTCTTAAGCTATCTTAATGTTCGACTCATGAACGCCGACGGTATAAGAGTCGTTTATTTCGCAAATAAATCCGAATCATCATTGACAATTTTTCACGAAATGCGAAAAAAAAAGTCTCTATTAAAATTTTATTACTTAAAGAAAAAGTTTAAAGAATAAATTATGAAATTCTTTATTTGTAGCTTACATTTCTGAAAATTATTGTTTACTTTAATAGTAATTAAAAATTATATAAAGCCGCTATTGAAACGAAATAAATTTTAAGGCTCGTCATGATACAAAAAAAAAGGTTTATTGGTAAAAAATGGTGTATGATTCGGTAAAACAAGTTATTAAAACTGTAAAAACTTAAATTTTTTGATTGAAAATTAGTTTAATAAAATTAATTTATTGTTAATTTCCATTCGAAAAAAAGGGTAAAAATTGTCTGATGATTTCTTTTTTATATTTAAGAAATTTGTATATCACTACATTTCTTGAGGAAAACAAGGCCGATTTTGGAAAAAAAAACTTAATGTCACACCACTTTCTTTTAAATTTTTACAATTGTTTTGAAAAAACAAGTAATTACACCATTTACTATTTTTACATAGGAATCTATACTTATCTGGATTTTCAAAAAAAAATCTAGTAGCGTTCATATTGTAAATTAGTGACTCATATTTAAATATTAAATGTTCTTATATTGGATTAAATTATAATATCTTTAATGAATGATCATATCAAATAAGATAATTATGTATATACCTTTATAAAAATTAGAGATTCCCGAAATATTATGCTCTCTATAACTAAAACAATAATAAATTAAATAAATACAAAAACTGAAACTTATTCAGATTTCTAGTTACCGTCAATATTTAACGATTTCGCTCACGTTTCGTATGTACATTTTAGAAGAAGGTGATGTTTCCTTAACCATGAGAGGGTCAAAAATCAACCCGAGTGGTCTGTAAAGCTACTCGAGGATAAACATTTTATCCTGGAAGAACCAATTCCAGTTTAAGGCTCCAGGTTTAGAGGAATAGCTGCTGGAAATCCATCCGATTGGAATCAATGTCTAAACAACTACAGTTCCAGGAGTGAGAGAAGAGGAAAGGGGATTTCTGAAACCAACTCGATCAACTTGGAGGGCTCTAGAGTGATAGTCCTGTTCCAATATTATTAATGGAACTTCACGAGGAATAGTAAACAATAAATTATATTTTAATTCTAATCATTGTCTTTATGTTTTAAGTAACATTTGTAAACAAGGTCCGGATTTTCATGCCGTGAGAACTCACAAACCATTTCATATAAGCAATAAAAAACCGCCGTAAAGGAAGCGAAATTTGTAGTACTAAACACTCGTGTGCCTAATGTGCCTGAAGAAAGTTCTGTACTAAATAGAGAAATTTACATTCAAGGAATTGAAAATATAAATTTATATTTAGTTATAAAATAAAATTAGCAATAGTTATTAATTTAAAAAATAATTGACATAGTCATGAATAAAATTAATGAACCGCCAATGGATTTGCTTAAAACTTGTATCATTTTGAAATGATTCTCAGGTCTTACTTTATTGCTTCACAAAACCCAGAATTTTTCAGTTCTGGGATTAAAAAGATGATAACATGTTGTAGAAAATGAGGGTAAATATTTTGAATATAAATGTTTTAATTTCATAAAGTTGTTTTATTAAATAAAACAATCTCGCTATGAAAACTGCATTTAATATGAAACGACCCAATACAAAAATATTAAAGAGAAGCGTAGACACTGAACATCCCTGTTTTAAAGTTTTCCTTATGAGAAAGCTATTACTAGAGAGAGAGAATCACTTTATTATCATAAAATAAAATTTAATTTTAACATATGCTTTTTCATCGTCATACAGGCTTTTTATGGCTGTTACAAATATCATATTACTATATTAAATATTACTTTCACGTTATTATATTTATTATTCAAACTTAAATTTATACGTACTAAACACATACGTACTCTCTATTCCCGATTTCATTTTAAACTACATGGACACCACAACGGACTTTACACCTTCAACGATATGGTCACAGCTGACATGCCCATCAGGAGACGACTAAAGAGGAGCTGGATGAAAGATCTCCTTTTCTAAATTATGAAGTAGACCAGGACCAAGTACTGCTGGGTACTAATCTTCCTCATGCCATAAATGCCAATTGTCAATACTATGGCAGGTGTGAATAAAAGTATGAAGACAGAAAAAAATTTATAAGATTAATGTTAATAATAATATAATTAACTATATAATATAATAATAAAATTAATAATTCCCGTATACTACAAATGCACTATATAGAAGCAATTGTTAAAATAGTGTAAATTGAGAGAGCGGGGTAATAAGAGGCCTACCCCCGCTGCCCTTGGGTCTGTCAGCATGGTTAATTACTTCCTTAACTAACACACCTTCCCAGCTAATTAACTGACTTCAGAAATTGGTTTTGTCTCCTCCCTGCACAATAGCCAGTAATACTAATTGCCTATTTATTTATTACTGGCTCAATGCAATTAATGGCTTCTAGAATATTGCAGCCAATATTTTTGTTAAATTTTCAATTTGAACCAGCTATAGAGTGTTTTCGTAATTTCAAAAACAATATCCAATGAAGCTTGACGTAAACCAGTACCCTAGAAAAAAAATTCAAAGATTCAAGAAAAAAATCCTCTTTCTACAAACTGCTTGTAGAAATTGGACAACCTATACTTTATGATATGAAGGCGTGGAAGTTAAGATGGTCAGGCTATGGAGCTCGAAGAAATCCCTGAGAAAGCCTAAACTCAATAATGAATGCCTGAATACGAAGATAACTGAAAAAAAAATAGCCAAAGATAGGCAGAGAGAGAGAAGAATGGTTAGTGTGGGAAATGATCAACAATGTTTATAAAAAGCCAATAGACGAAAAATGACCAAAGTCCTAGGTCAATCACAAATACATAGCTGTAACATGCAAAGTATTTTGAATCTTGAAACAGGGTTTTTTATTTTTAATTAAATATATAGGATCTGAATAATATTATATATGTAAATCAAAATATTTCCTATAAAACATCGATGTGTCCCTTTCTTGTTATTTACCATAACCACAACACGGTTTATATACATCTATTATTATACTACCTATTTAGGAGAGGCAAAGAGAATTTTATTTTTTAGATTAGTAGTAATGGTCCAATTTCGGTCTTTTGGCAACCACTGATGCCTTTTATGTGGTTGCCGCCGCGTACATGACAGAATGGGAATGTTAAGATTCTTTTCCCATCGCCGCCTAAAAATAATTTATTTTTTATTATATGTAAAATTTTTATTGAAGAAAAATAGTAAAATCTTCCACATTCTAGGGAATGGAATATTATAGCTCTATGTTTACATTCATAATTTTTAAATACAAATTGATAACAAAAATAAAATAAGAAGAAAACATATAAGTAAAAATATATGCATTAAAATAAAACAAAAAATTTGCAAAAAAAAGTACGTTGAAACAATAGTAAAGAAATAAAATATTGGAAAAAAGAATAAAATAAATAGTTGTCACACATTCACTCCTATGTAGACTATTTACATTCAGTCTAGGGAACTCTGAACCTTGCTTTACCACTCTCTTGTGAAAGGCAAAGCAAGGTTCAAAGAGAAGCCAGCGCGCTTCTCTTCCAGTCACATCACTGTTTAAAAGTAAAAATAATTAATAACCTACCCGAGTGGGAATCTAACCCACTGTTTTCAGAACAGTTCTGAGACAGAACCAACGTGCTCGGCTAACACGCCCTCTGTTTTATAGCTTAAATAAAAATTATTTTATTCAACATTTTTTGTTTTTTTACTTTAATTGAGTCACTATCACGAATAAATATTAATTGATAATGATATTTATTTCGAAATACATTATCTAAAATACTTTTCATTTGGGATAACACCAATATGTTGCTTACCACTTCTTGCAAAAATCCACTTTCCGATCCTGACCAAAAGTATAACACTATTCCTATCTGTTGACAGCGATTTTAAACTACGGCCACTAAAATTACAATTCTATTTTACTAATTAAATATCAATAAATACATTATATTCCGATTTATTTCAAATAGTTATAACGATATATAAGTGTACCCGACACCTCAATCCACTATGACTTCTTTGAAAGCCTGCTTTGGACATAGAATCTTCTTCTGAGCCCAGTCAAGCTGCTTGCCAAACCTCGCTTCCAACTGGTTCCTCACCAGCGCCGAGAGAAGTTTCTTCCGGCAGCGGATGTCCTCCAGGAAGTTCAATTCTTCGGCCAGCAATCTGTTGTAGGAATCGTATTTTCCAAGAGACATAATAGTTGATATTTATTTCTCTTTTCAGTTTGGTCACTTTAATAATTTTTGCTTCCAATTCAACATCTGTTATTAATAATTGACCGTATGGAAAATGATAAACTACTTACAATGAGAACTTTAAAATTTATTTTTCCTATCATATTATTATAGAAAATACAACTCCGTGTTAAGAGTTGTAATCAAAAGAGTGAAAGTAATATTGCATGTATTTAGTAAAGCAAATAAATTTTTTATGATAATTAGTTTTTGGTACAGCAAGTGAGTTAACCTCAAAAACTAACCAACACCATCATATATCATTTCGTGGCGCTTCTAAAAAAAAACACAAAAAAACAATTGCTCCAAAAAAAGAAGAAAAAAACTGGAATGATACATTTCTATATATTTGAATCAATATCATTCAAATTTAATAAATTTAGATTTTTTATGCAGAGTGAAATTTCTTAAATCAAACATTCCTAACTGCTGTTGGAACTATTTTTCGATACTGTAATCTAATTGTTGAACGTTAAATAAAGTGTATAATAAAGTATGTTTATAAGCATTCCTTCCTTATATCAAATAATATTATAAAATTTATTTTTGTAGTTTCATTAAAAAATACATCCTAAAAACTGGATTTACATTTTAGGTCTAAGTCATGAATGTGTTCTTTTTAATGTATTTTTTTTTAACTGTGAGGGCATGCCCAGTTCTCCATAAACTTAAATCACCATATTATTATTATTATTCTTTATTATTTTACAGGTATGTAAAATATATATATATAAAATGACAAATGTTAATCCGTACAGATAAAACAAAATAAAAATAATATAAAACAAACCATATTGCATTCATTAGTAATCAAAGTACAGCTACAATAAACGAATTTGTTTTTTAATTGAAAATTTCTTTCGGCGCGTTTTGCAATTTTTTGTGGAGAGCGAATTGATTAATTTGTGAATATACAACCACAATGGTTATATGGGTTTAACTGGTTATATCTATGTATTTAGTTTTTTCAGATTAAAAACAGTCAAAAAAAAAATATATATTTTTAAGAGTTACCAAAATGTTACTGTTAGTTGAGACCTCTAATATCAATAATAATCAAATAATAGACTCACTCTTTCTTCCAGTTTATCTGTCTTCGAAAAAAATACCATGAATTCTAAATTAAATTTAAATAAAAATTAAATTAAGATAATAAATCCAAATAAAATATGGAATATTTTATTCAAAAGCTTTGAGGAAAACAATTGTTATATAAATCATAGATAACACGCCATTTAATTCAAAGAAAATGCTAAGATTTCAAATTTTATAAAAAAAAATAATGTTTTTATAAAACTTTTTATATTTTAAAAATTGTATTATCTCAGTAACTAAATCTAAGTCTCGTGGCCTAAAATTGTAACTTGATATTTTATTTTTATTTTAGATCTTTCTATAAAATCTTTCTTGCCTTAAACAGTCGAATTTGAAACAAATATGAGTTGGCTTGATTCCCAGTTGAGAAAAATACAGTAATTTTATTCTATTCGTTGATTTTATGTTTAGTATAAATCATATCCAATTTTCGTTTTATTTCGCCAAACTTATTCTAAAAATTGATGGTATTTTTTTTTAAATTATAAACTATTTCAGAGAATACTGTTTAATATATTTTGCTTAGTAGACAATTAGCACACTTTAAAAAATAATAAATTTAAAAAGAATCAGCTATTAAGTTATTCGTCATTTTTTTTCTGAAGCAAGTTTTCTGTTATAAAAGTCTCATATATAATAAAATAAATGTTAACACAATATTTTAAATGAAATCAACTTAAAAAATTATCCAATAATTTTTTTATAGTTAATTTTTTAAAAATTTATTTATTGAAATCTAAAACTGCATTACAAATACATGTTAATGTGTATTGGTTTACATGTACATACTTGAAGAGAAACTACCCATTTACAACACTTCCATTATAGGTCTCGAGGCCATCTTCATTTAGAGGCCTTGGAGGGTTATCAGGAATCGAAGACGATGTAAGGTTAGAAAAGCGGATTTGGACCGGCTTGAAGTTTATTATGGACGGATCTAGATATTTAGATTGGACCAATTCGGAAACATTTGGAACATTATGATCGTTATGGATAAATTTATTTGAGACAAAGCAAGAATCATCGAGGATTTTTCGAAGGATTTTGGATTGTAAGTATTTAATATGAGAGGAATTCGAAGGTTTAGTGGAGTCCCAGAGCTTAACTCCACAAGTCCAAATAGACCTTATAATGGTCAAGTAAATGAGTCTTCTTTAGTTAATTGGCAATTTAAAGCGTTTGTCTAGTAAGTATTGTTTTTAAATTGTAATTATTAATAATGTTGAAAAAACAACAACCAAAAAACACCTAAAATAGCCCAAGTCAATATGAGCCTGTTACAAATGTTTTCATTGTTTTGATTCTTTCTTTCATCTAGATCAAAGATACATTTTTTTTCTCCTTTAATTTTTTCGAATTAAAACCCTCTCTTGTCTAGATAAAAATTCACAAAGGAACCGAGCTCACAAAGACGATATCGTAATGAACCTGTTCAAAGGTTATTTGTCAACTTCTTGAGACATGATTTTGTAGGATCATTAGATGAACATTTTGTCATCTTTTTTTCTATTTATTGAAACCAAATTATAATAATAAAACATTAAATAAAAATTGAGTGGATTTAAATAAGTCAAACTTAAGAAGTTGAGAAAAAATATATATATTTTTTTCTACATAGCTTCAATTCAAAACAATTCTTATGATATTATTATTATCATTATAACTTTGTAATGTAATTTAATAAAAATCTTATAATAAATGTTATTAATATTATTATTTGAATCAAAATTAAAATAAATGTGAGATCACGCCTTTGGTAGTAAGGCACTCAATTATTATTTAATTTTTATGTAAAATTTTAAACGGTGAATATTAATAAAATTTAATATAAAACATTAATTAATCGTATCTCTGAATTAACTCAAAATACAAAGTATTTCGCAATAAACACGTAAGGATCTTCAGAAACAGTTACTATGTATAATAAAAGTTTTGAAATATTTTTTTTTTAAACTATGTTTTACTTCTTTAAGACAATCAACAAACCACCATTCACGATATATTTTTTATAACTTCTTGTCGTTATATGGTTGGATGAGTCTAACACAGGTTTAATACTCAATGCCCTTGATTAAAGTAAAATGTATCATTTGTCAATAAATTAATATTTTTGACAAAAAAAAAAAAATGAAAATTAGTGTTAGGTTCAAACAAAAACCTTAGAAATACTTTGAAGGAGAATGTAGCCATATTAGATTAACTACTCCCATCAAATTGTATGGAGAAAAAGTTGATATATGCATCGAATGTTGAAAAGTCCACCCACAATCTTCAAAATGTAAATCTGAAGATCTTACAATAAACTAGAACTTTAGGCTGAGTCTCGAGGGAAGAATTATTACAAGAATTTCTCAAAAATAATTAATAAAAAAAAAATAATTTTTGCTATAAAAACAATTAAATGAAATTAAAAAATTCTTTTATTGTTTTGTTAAAAATGTAACATATCTGTCTAGTTTTGATATATTCAAACTTTATTTAACTACGTATTATATCCAATTTTTAAATAACGGAGGGTATCACCTAAGATCATATCATACTTTTATTAAATTACACCTTTAAAATGAAAAATATAGTCATCTTAAATTTTTATATAAAACTGCTCGACGATTTTCGACTACTACAGCACTTACTAGATAAACGCTTTAAACTTCCAATTATTTACAAAAGACCCATACATATTACTATGATAAGACCTATCTGGACTTACAGTATCGAGCTTTGGGGCTATACTAAACCATGAAGTTCCTCTGACATCCAATCCCTACAATCCAAAATCCTCAATGCACCTTACTTTGCCACAAATGAAATCATCCACAACGACCTTAACGTACCATATGTTTCCGATGTTGCTCATTGAAGATACCTGTCCTTACATAATAAACTTCTGGACCACCCGAACCCTCTTGTTTCTAATCTTGCTTCCTCTTCTATTACTGATACCCTACGAGGCCTCTGAAAAGAAGATTTCCTCGGGTTCCTCTAATATATAACTACAATTGGAGTGCTACCAATGGGTAGTTTTTCTTCATGCTTTCTGTGTCATGTCACTGTTTTTAGATTTACTTGTTGTATTTGTCATGTAATATTGCGGTAAATTTCAATAAATATATCCATATGTGCTTGTTTTAGGTGAAAATTTTCTAATATTATAAAATAAGGCTCTGTTTATTTTTTCACCATATTTATTTTAAATTTCAAGGCTACGTTTCGGCCGGTAAGCCATCTTCAAGCCATTTTATCCAACCATGCTTTTTGAATCTAGTCCAAAGTCTGAAGCGTAGTCTTGAAAATTAAAATAAATATGGTGAAAAAAAACATAGCAGTATAATTATCTAAAAAAAAAATAATTGAAAAAAAGGCTGAATTCATATAAGAAAATAATGAATTAAAACTTCATACTTCCGAGAACTTAAGGCTGTTAACATCATATAACAAAAATATCATGAAAATAAATTAAATTGCTACAATTATTACTAAATTATCACTGAATGGTATAAACTCTCTAGCCTAGCCCATTTTTAGCCTTCTTCAACAGCTCGCTCAGATGACACTAGCCATGTGCCGGGCAAATGGCACTCAATCAGCAAACTGTAGTGTCCTTGTCCATCCTTGTATGGAACACAAATGGACAGCATTGCACCATAGGGCAGAATAGGATTTATTCATGGAAAACGAATTGAAGTGTCTTATTGCCTCTTTCATTTGTGATATTTACAAATATAAAATATAGAAAAAAATTAAATAAAAAATTTCACAAATAGTGTTACATCTCCCCAAAAAGGAAGTTTGTTTATTTATTTGTTGGGGTTTTAAGGAGTAAAATATCCAAGTCATCAAGGCCTGCAAATTAATTCTGTTAACTCTGGATTAAATTTTTAAGAGATTTTAGATTGTTTTGAACAAATCGTTTCATTTAAAGTAACCTAATAC